GCCTCTTCACTCCTCAAGATGATCCAATACCTTCAACCAGCAAGTTACCACAGTACATAAACCTGTCTGAAGAAAGCGACATTGATGACCCACCCAGCCCTGTCTCCTCTTCACCAACTTCTTCCAATTAATATAAGTCTCCATGTATCCTGTAAATAAAAATTATAGGGGCCATGTGTACATTCAGCTAATACATTTAAAGGTAGTAGCTCAGTCACACTGTATCCATTCCTCATTATTTATTACTTTTTACTGTACTGTATATCCATTCTTCATTATTTTTTTTACGTTTAGTGTACTGTATTTCATTGTAGATTTTAAAAAAAATTAAAAAAAAAAAATTTTGAATTTTTTTTTTTTTTTTTAAACCCACATCAATAATACCCATATCGGACTTACTACCTGATTTATCCCTAACCCCGTCGTAAGTCAGGGTTTCTATAATAATATATATATATATATATATATAAATAATCACTATATATATAACTATATATATATACTATAAACACAATAAAAACACAATCCCATATATACTAATACACATATACACTAAACATATATATACATATATATATAAATATATATATATATATATATATATATATATATATATATATATATATATATATATATATATATATATATATATATATATATATATATATATATATATATATATATATATATATATATATATATATATATATATAACGCTTTCGCCGCTGCCTACGGTGCCTTGCCAAAGCTTTAACTTACCTACACGGATTTTTTCCACAACAGCAGTGGCGTCAGCTCAGATGCTATTTTTAGATTTTGACCCAACCCGCCACCACCTCCTGCCTGCCTGCCTGCCTCTCCTCACCCTCCCTCCCGCCAGCGCAAGCTGCAGGAATTCGCAGTGTCTTTTATTGCGCTATCACTGACGCCATATAACGATCCCGGACTGTGATTAGCCCATGCACCCCTACCCCCCCTGCTGCTAGCTGTATTGGCTTAAGTATTATGGCGATACCGGAGAGGGAGTGGAAGAGACGCACTGACCTAGCAGCAGCAGTTTCATCCTCAAGCCACCCCGCTAACGCGCCATTGTTCCATAAATGGCTTCGCAGATCTACCCAGAAAACCTTCCTTACCTGGACCCAGCGGCACTAAGACAAAACCGACGCTCATTAAGCCTACGACTGAAATACCAAATTAGTAGATCGAGAAAAGAAAACCGTAGAATCTCATACACGACATGCCACAACGAATCTCACGACCAGACAATAAAGGATGCAGCCAGATAAAAGAGCACATGAAAATCCAAAGTCTGCAGAGTGCTTCAGCACAGGTATTGCCAGAACAGGGTGCTGGCAAAAAGTGAAAACTTGCTGGTGAGTTATTTGCGCGCCAGGCCGACGCAACATGGCGGGACACGCGCCAGTGCGAAATACGCACGGAGCTATACGCCAGCAGTGACACGTAAACTGGGAATTGCAGAGCCCAAACCCTTCAATGCTTCCATGGTTGGCTGCATAGGTTTTAGAGGAGAACAAGGTCACCAACATCAACATTGTTGGTGAAGCCAAAGCAACCGTCACGACGGCCTAAAGATTTTCCTCCGCTTACATTGAGATTATGGAGGAAGGACAGTACACTGACGACCCAATGTTTCAACATGGGCGAATCAATTGTACCTGGAAAAAGTTACCTTCAAGACCCGTTGTCAGTCTGCACAGCAAGAGTGGGGCGGAAGATGCAGAGCGCATCACCGTCCTGTTTACCACCAATACCTCCGGTACCTGTAAACCAAGTTATCGGTGATTCACAAAGCCATAAACCATGCGCCTAAGAATATGGACATGAACAAGCTTAATGTCCACTGGCCTGGCACCCGCCGTAAAGGCGTGGATGTCCTCTTCTCTGTCCCTCTTCTGGTTTGACAACTTTTTTGTTCTGGCTGTTACAGAAATTCTCTTGAGCAACAGAATGTTCCATTCAACATTTGTTGCTCCTTGACCTTACCCTGGACACTGCGCCCTACTATTGGATCGTCACCCCAAGCATCAAAAGTGGTCTTCCTTCGCACTCCAACACCGTCATTAATCCAGCCTATGGACCAGAGTTGATCTGCAACGTTAAGCTGCATCTTTCGGCAAAGGAATTCCGCTCCTGAGCGACTCTACCAACACCAGGATGATTCTGCGTAAGCTGGGTGACACCGACAGCGAGAGTAAAAGCGGCGAGGACAAAAGGAACAAGAAGCGGCGACTCAGAACTTCTCAAATCCAACAATTTTGGAAGAAGTTTAACGTCAAACAAGCTGTAGACTTCTTGGTGAGCATAGGATCTGCTGTCTATTACTCTACGATTAAGTCGCAATGGAGACATGTGTTGCATGGCATACCAGGTGAGAGGAGGAGTGAACCTGTGACTGGTGCAGGTTCAGACTGTTACAGTAACAGTGGACCCCGCCAGAGAAGCTGCGCCAGACTATTAGCAGAAGGCTTCTCCGAGACCACCACAAGAACATCATGGAATGTCAGAGATCCTGGAAGTGATGACCGGCGAGATGTTGGAAGAAGAACCCGCCAGTGAAGAGGAGGAAGAAGGTCGTCATTCTCCGAAGAACCTAGTTAAAGTCATAGTGATATTAAGTGTGTCATAGAGTTAACAAAAAAAAAACCACCCCACACAACCCACCCCACCCCACAACAACACCACCAAAACATCAAACCAGCCGTCAACAAACAAAACATAGTTCTTCCGCCCGCAACCCACCACAGCCAGCCCAAAGCCAGTGATAGTGAAGTAATAATTTTGAGGATTTGTCAGGGAAGCCATGACAACTGTAAGTGACAGTGATAATGATTCACTATTAGGTGACTACTAAGTGGTGATTCACCTGAGGGGCAGTAATCTGCCTCTGCCTCAGAGACAACCTCCATCCCGTATGCGACCCATCTCTTCTACTACATTAGTGTTCATAAAAATTTTCGTTTTTTAACCTATTCTTTATTTTTCCTATGTTAACCTTTATCTTTCCCTAACTAACCTCTTCTATATTACTTGTTTTCATGCCACCATAAAGTTAAGATAAATTTTTTACTACAACATAGTTATTTATTAGTCAAAAGTGGAGTTTGGGGAATTAGGGCTGGGTTCTGTGGAATTAATCCCATATGTTCTGTTATTCACTTAGCAGTTTCATAACCTGGGACCCTCTGGTTCAATTGACGCGTTAAGTGAAATTTTCTTTATATATATATATATATATATATATATATATGTG